CAACAGAATAGACACATTCAGGATGGAAAAGATTTATTAGTTCAAGCCTGCCACTGCAGGATTTCCTTTATCATCTAGTTACTGCATTTTTAAAAAACAGCTCCTGAAATAAGGCTTCCATTATTTCTCCGAGGAGACTTCTAGATCATTACAGAACTAAAGACATTTTTTCTAACATTTATCCTACATTTTCCCATTTATTTTGATACTATTACCAAACTAACCAATCTTCGCATCGTGAGATCTATTTCCTCTCTGTGGCTTTCAAAACAAAACTGAGCCTAGCTTCTCCACGTACAAATCACTCACTGGGCAGGTGATGTGAATGCTCCTTTTATTGATCTTTGGGCTGTTCCAAACACTACGCCACTGTATAATCTCCTGGTGTACTCGCAACTTAAACAGCGCACACAAGCCTTATTGCCCTTTTCATAAAAATCACATTGTTTACTATGACTATGTACAGAGACAGTCAAAAAGGATGAGTTGAGGTATGGAGCAATTAGCCTGCCCTCCAAATAAGAAGGCACTAGCAGAGAGGGAGTGTTGGGAAAATAGGTATTAGAGATGAGATATTAGACATGAAAGAGACCTTGAAAATTGTTAATACAGAAGCTGAAAAGGGGGCAGTTACTATTTTCTCACTAGATAAGGACATGGAAAACCTTATCCAACTGACTTAAAACACAAGGTTTAAACACAGCAAGAAGATACGCTTTCTACACAAGACAAGATATTGCATTAATTGCCATAAAAAAAACTTACAGAGACTAAAAATATGAGTCAAAAAATAGATTAACAGGTGACAGGTCACTGATTCATATAACGCATAGTCTTTCTTACAAGATTTTCCTGGTTTCAGCTGGGATAGAGTTAATTGTCTTCCTAATAGCTGGTACAGTGCTATGTTTTGAGTTAGGTATGAGAAGAATGTTGATAACACACTGATGTTTTCAGTTGTTGCTCAGTAGTGTTTAGTCTAAAGTCAAGGATTTTTCAGCTTCTCATGCCCAGCCAGCGAGAAAGCTGGAGGGGCACAAGAAGTTGGGAGGGGACACAGCCAGGGCACCTGATGCAAACTGGCCAAAGGGGTATTCCAGACCATGGGACATCACATCTAGTAGAGGAACTGGGGGAAGTGGGGGCGGGGGATCGCCACTCGGGGACTAACTGGGCATCGATTGGCAGGTGGTGAGCAATTGTACTGCGCGTCATTTGTATGTTCCAATTCTTTTATTATTGCTGTTGTAATTTTATTAGTGTTATCATTATCATTTAGTTTCTTCTTTTCTGTTCTATTAAACCGTTCTTATCTCAACCCACGAGTTTTACTTCTTTCCCAATTTTCTCCCCCATTCCACTGGGTGGGGGGGAGTGAGCGAGTGGCTGTGTGGTGCTTAGTTGCTGGCTGGGGTTAAACCACGACAAAATGTATCTTAAGTCTTAGAAAGTGAACAGTAGATTTGCAGAAGCTGGAAGGTATATGCAGTAAAGCAGCACTTTATACAGTTTCTTATACTTTTCCTTTAGGAATCAGCTGTTAGCCACTGTCAGAGAAAGAATACTAAGGCAGACAAACCTCTGATATGATTTACTATGGCCGTTTGATGGGGAACAAATGGAAAAGATGATTTATCCTCGTTGACTGGGGAACAGAGTGGAGACTATCAGAAAGCATTAGGTTTAGTGTGCAGTTCCAGCCAGTTGGTTTTTTTCCCTAATTAAAAAAAATTAAACCAGACTAATTCTAAGAGAGAAGATGCTATAAAGATGTAGTTTGGCCAAAACAGCATGAAGACATAATTTAGAAAAGAAATTGTGAGGAATAAGTCTTATTCAACCATGAAGTATTACAATAAGATTAAATAGACAGGGTCACTATGATGCAAGTGCTAACAAAGCTGTAATAACAGTCTACAGTGGATGATATATACTATATTTAGTTAACTAACGTATGTATTAGCTCAGGGGAAGAAAAGGTATGAAAGAGTGGCTTTTCCACCATGCTCCCTGACACATCTTACTTTGCCTTATACAGATCTAATCCCTCCAAAATACTGACCAAGTGCAAAAGTCCTTGCTAAGGGAGGTCTTAAATCTTAAGCTGTTAACCTAAAGTATACCACGAAGACCACAATTCCTCAAGGTGACGTATACAACTCACTTTTGAGAAATCATTTCTCCACACACGCACAACAATGAGGACAAGGATGGTCACAGCAAAATTGGTCCTGATTCTTTAACTGATTGACAGGTAGGTATCGTACTGCCGTACGTGTAAAATGCTTATCAGTTGGTAGGACCCAGAGCAGAACAATAATCTTTCCAACAAGAACCAATAAGCTGAGTAAAGCCAATAGTCCAACCTTGGCTTTTCAGAACTTAGATACAAATATATTAGAAAAACACGTATGTTTTTATATGTACATGTACACCAATAACAAAAAATAGCTTAAGCTTTACATCGACTTTTCCTGGCTATGCAGAGAAAGGGAAGCAGTTGTGGAAAATGGTACCATTTGTGTTATTTGAGGGAATAACTATGCCTTAATATTTTTCCAAGTACCAAGAAAAGCTGTTCTGAATGAAATTTAAATAGGCTCATCATGTAACATGAAGGTCCTTCCTTTTAATCATCAGCAATAATATCCTGCTAATGCAAAATGACACTGTTTCCAAAAACAGCATTACAGAAACAAACAAAATCAGAAACAGTCTGAATGTAGGATCAAGCAGTGACAGACACTAAGTTGCTGAATGTTTTCAACTACTGGGAAGACAATAATTTCTATTACTTATTACTCTTTCAAACTTCAACTGAAACATTTTTTTCTTCCTAAATTATGCTTTCATTCCAGCCCATGCCTGTAACACCATTTTGGATCTTCTTCAGACTCTACAAGCCTGACCCTACTGCCCTTTTGTTGACAAAAAAAACAAACCAAAAAACCCTTAAAACCCAACACCCTAAAAGAAGGAGCAAGAGAAGGAGAGAAAAATAAGAAAGGAAAGGTGCAGGAGCAGCCTTAAGCCTGAGGTCAAAACTGAACTCTTTTTCCAAGCTTTCCAACTCCTGCTGAGTTACCGATGCCAACAAATGGGAGGTTTTGAATTACTGACAGCTTTTAGAGTGCCACTTCCATCACACCACACTGAAAATATTCGATAAATATGACTTCCAATAAAAGTTAGTAGAACATTATATGTTAAATCAGAATAAACCAGAAGAACCTGTCATTATTGTTAATGGTTTCATCATATAGCACTCCCTTGATCAACAGTTGGTGAGGAAGTCAAGAAAGAAAAAAAAATGGGGGGGAGGGGGGAGAAGGAAAAAGACAGTAGTCCTGAGGTCTGATTTTATGCCTTCCAAATCATGTATGATATACTCACACATGGATGTGAACTCACTCCTAATCTCTGCAGAACTCAGTAGGAGCTGCCTTGCCTACCCCAAGCATTTGAGAACCCGTTTTTAATAAAACTAAATTGTTTTATTTTACTTTATTTAGCTCACCTTTTGCTCAGTTGTAGTCTGACACTTTCTGGAGTGATTGTTCTTTCGTGCTCATGTGTAATTGAAATTCTAAACCAACAGCTATATGACTATATACAGTGGTTAGAGTACCACTATCGTTTTAGCATTTTTAAGTGTAGCTATAGGAGGCCCTTGATAAAGCATTTCTGAATAATAAAATATCCTCTCCTGGATTCAGCTCTTAACAGAAGAGTTTAACTTGGTTTTCTTAATACGGGTATCTAACTGCAGAAAAGCATACTCGAAAGACTCAGCTCCCCAGTTTGACGGCAAGACCAATTTAAAATCTACTTAAAAGCAAAACCAAACAAAAGACACACTTACTCCTTTCCTCCCACGCCTCCCTGGCATTTTCTGAGAAAAAGTCACCTTAATTAGAGCAACAGTTTTCACAACTACCTGGCTATGGTTTTGTGGGCTCTGGTTTGGTGGGCTCCTAGTAGCTCTCCAGGACTTACTTGTTTGCCATAAAGGTTGCTGTAGGACTGTTGAAAAAGGAATAGGTGCTCTCTCAACCAGGTTCAGAATACTTTAAATTTCTGTTCTTATGGCTGCATCCATACGTGCATGTACACAAATACACACCCCACAGCAAATATCTCAGCTACTACTCCTTCCATCCATGGTATTTCTAGATATTACTGTTTAACTTTTACTTATTTATTTAATGGAAGACCCTTTGCCACAGCCAGCACCCTTTAAGGCACTCTGTGAAAAGAGGTTTAAGATTCAATTAACACAAAACTTCAAAATGTACTTTTATAAAAAGCAAAATGTAAAACACAATCATTTTGGTTGATATTAAAATTAGGTAAATATAATATGCATTTCTCTAATGTTTAAAGACCATTTCTGGAAAAACTCAAAATCCCTTATGTAGTCTTGTTCTTGGGAGCATTCACATAACCACAGTTTGCAGAAAGCAAAAGTTTGGAGAAAATTATTTTGAGTTAAATACAAGAGTATTCATGAAAATGCAGTTTTGAAGTTCAAATATTAATTTTCCAAATGTCTCTGCATTTAGGTACTATGCTACCCGAAACAATGCTAACTTTTTTTTTCTGACCAATCCCAATTAATCAACACAGCTCAGTAGCAAAAATTATACAACAAGCCACAAAGTTAAAAAAAACACACAAAAAAATCAAATATTTTGACACAAACAATGCATTTGAGAAAACTATAATCTACTGAAAGGAAGTCCAAGAGTGGTAAGAGAGGCTAGATTTGCTACACGCTGTATTAACTGAAAATCAGTTGTTGACCCTTATCAAATTTTTTTTCTTTAGGAAATTACATTATTTACACAAATTAAATAAACCCCATTTTCATTGCGATTGTATGAATTAATTTATTTCTCTCAAGAACTTGGGGAAAATTAACATAACCCAATACAAAGAGTAGGGACATAAAGTGAAGCCCCTGTTAATAATTGAACTATGAACATGGAGGGCATCGTTACCTTGGCAGGCAAAGCCTCTTTCTTCATAGCCAGCATTACACAAGCACTTCCCTATGGGCACTAGCCATTCTCCTTCTGTACTGCAATACATCTTGGGTGGCTCTTCCTCCTTGGAATGATTGACACAAGAACCCCGCACCTCCACCAGCGACTGAGAGTCCATGGGTACTGTATCTGGAAACATGGCGAGGTTCTTGACAGTGAAAGGGCACTTTTTGAAGTACACTCGCACCGAGACTAAGGCAACACACGCACCTACATCTTGAAAAGCCAAGTAAAAGCCTTTCCTGCTGACAGGCCCCACCTCACGGACTTCTGTATTCAGCTTGAGAATTCGGTCCCCAAGATCCATTTGGGTGAAGCTCTCATCAGCCGCGATGGTGTCGATCTTTGTAAACTGATGCTCTCTGAACTTTACCAAATGGTCATCATCAGACTCCATGTAATACAGATTGAAGGTCTCTTTGCAAGTGCCCAGAACTAGAGGGATACTATTACAGTCCCTCAAGGTAAACTTGAGCTCCACATATATCTTCTGAGCTGAATTGCGTGGAATCCAGTTTGTTCGCAGCCAATTGTTTTGACTGTGATCCATCACATTGCACACTTGGTAAGTTCTGATTGGAGTATAATGCTCATCAACACCACTAATCTCTTCCCACTGGAAAAAAAAAAAAAAGAAAAAAAAAGAAAAAAAGAAAAGGGGAAATATTATAAAATTAATGACTACACCAATACAAACCACATTTAGAGACAAAAGCTGTGAAAAAGCAAAAATCACTTTGCTTGGACATCACTATAAAATAGACAATAAAGTCTGGTCGATCTTGTACTTACTTTTTTCTTATTAAAACATATAAACATCTTAAACGAACACAGAATTCACCATTATGAAGTCAGGTTTTACCAAGTTATTTCAAGGTGGCATGAAAGAAATGCTACAGCTGTTTTGCATTATTAAAAACCTCTAGTTTCTTAAACTACATGCAGTGCTGTCCTTTCAATCGTGATCCCAACATGTCTTTACTACAACCACACTCACCTCGAACAGAAGAGGTTTGCTAGGACAACACCACATTTTCACTGTTAGAATCAAGTTGTATTTCAAAGATTAAACAAGATTTAACATCTTACAAACAAAAGCCAATGGCTCCCACTGAAATTCCATGTAGTCATAATAAAATGTTACAGTTTTAAATTTATTCAAAGTATGACAATTGATTTTGCTTGGGATATATGTCCTGTGGACAGTCAACCTTAGCCCAGTTCCAGAGTTATTGAAAATTACTGCCAACTTACCGTAAGTATCTTGGTTACTTAATTCTTCTGTGGACTACACAGGCTATGATGCTAAAATGGTTTTTGAAGAATACATAGTCGCCATTTGTTTTTACATCAGTCATCAGCTGACAAACTTACTTGACCCAGAGAGGGAAGGAAAGGGTTTCCTATTTGTGAATTACTCATGTACCAGTCCTGCCTGATTTCTGAAGTCACACTTACCCACAGGAATATTTACCAAATCACAGGAAAAAAAAAATACTACAGGGGTACTTAAAGTAAATATTTAATGTTAGTCATTTACCATACACATCTAAGTGACTTAAGATGCATCTTTCTTGGCTTTCTCCCTGAATCAATGACTAGGACCAATTTTATTTTATTTTTTTAAGTTCATCATTCTTCAGCTTTTATCCACACAAAAACTGCAGCTGTTCTATATTCCGAGTCTTAAGATACCAAATAAAGAGCCTCACCACCAAAGCGCTAGAATTAAAACTCATTACAGTGAACAATGCCTGTTAGAGAATCACACCACCACTGCAGCTGAAAGAAACCCTTCCAGACCTTCTAGCCCAACCCTCTGCTCACGCAGGGTCAGCCAGAGCAGGTTGCTCAGGATCCTGTCCAGTCAGGCTTTGGAATATCTCCAAGGATGGAGACTTCACAGCCTCTCTGGGCAGCCTGTGCCAGTGTTTGACTGTACTCTGAGTAAAAAGGTTGGTCCTTACATTTAAATGGAACTTCCTGTATTTCTGATTGTATCCATTGCCTCTTGGCCTTGCACGAGCCACCAGAGAGAAGAGTCTGGCTCCATATTCTCTATACCCTGCCATCACGCATTTATATGCGCTGGCAAGATACCCCTGAGCCTTATCACCTTCTGTTCTACGCTTCAAAGTTAATTAGGCAAACAAAAGAGGTAAACTCCTATCGTGATAATAAAGCACATATTAATAGAGCATGCGGTAGCACAGAGGCAACAGAAATCCTTGCTTCGCTGTCACCCACATGCACAGCCTCTGCAAAACCACAAACGCTGCCCCATGCAACCAGCCACAGCGCAGCTGGGGAGCAGTAGAGCTTCAAACAGAGCTGCTGCTGCTGCACGGTACAAAAACTGGAGAAGTAGACAGAATTAAGTATTTTGTGGGAAATCACTGCCACTCTTGGGGGAGGGAGACAAAGAAGAACCAGAAAAACATTTTCCCTCAAAAATCATGTCACATGAATGTTATATGTAAGATCTCAGTCTAACAATTACTCATTTTACATAAGCACCTTTTGCTGCAGGACCTTAACGTACTGCAGAGCAAACATTAGGAGAGGAAAGTACTCTTCCCATTGTACCAACCAAGAAACTGAGGTGCAGAAGTGTCGACTGTCTTTACAGTTTCTTCGTTTTACAATACGTGCATCACACACACATAAAAAGAAAGAAAAGGGAAAAAAAAAAGTGACCACATCAGAGTAACATCTGAGAGTTCTCAGACCCAGCCCACTGACTTAAGGAAGTTTTGGTATGACTAAGAGCTGGTCTGCGCAATGAAATCGTCCACGCACCACTGAAGATGTGATTTTAAATCATGTTATTAAACCAGTAGATAAAAGCAGTATAAGTATTCTTCCTTTAATTGAAACAAAGTTTATTTTAGTTCACTTTACAGATCTGACTATACACAAGTTTTATCTTTTCCTGACTAGTTCAACAGAGTTAAAAACACAATCTTGGATGTATATACAGCAGCTGAAATGCTGCAGCAAGCCATAACATGCTACGCTGCCAAAGCGAGCTAGCAGTACAGGGAGTTCCAGAGCCAAAGTTACTACACCAGTCCTCACGGCCACTTGAGAGCTGGGTGCCACATGGCAGCCCGTCATACAAGGACGAGCTCTTGCCTGCATAAGAGGCAGCTGGACCTTGGCTCCCAGCCTCTGCCAAGTTCCCAGAACTGAGTGGAGGACCCTCATCTGACAGCTGTCCTGGTACAAGTACAGCCCCTGAGCTGACAATCTAGTCCTGCTGCAAAAAGCCATTCAGATGTTGTAATTGCCTCCCATGAAGCTAGATGTACCTATTTAACTACAGGTCTTACCTGGACAAATAAAAATGCAGTTACAACAACAGGATGAAACCAGGTAAGACTATGTAATGAAACATCATTTTATGGACATTTAAAGCAGCTCACACTAATTCATACGTGACCTACTGATTACCTCTTTCATATGATTTCTAATCAGTTCAACATCTCTTACATGTCCAGTGGGAGACAGAAACAAAACCAGGAACTTGCAGAATTTAAAACATCTCCACAGCAGATGTTATTTTCTGAACAAGTCTCCTTGCAATTTTTTTTTTTCAGAACTTTCTTATTCAACATGGTTACACAGACGGTTGAACGTATATCTATAAACTCCATGATAAAGGTAGCACCACTACTGTGTTCTTCACCTAGAAGTTACAACGTGCAATTATCACTTCATTGATTTGCAATGAAGACCAAATTGCTTGGAAACAACTGTAGGCCATGTTAGTCCACTTATATAAGCAACAAAATTTCAAATCTATCATTTAATGCTGAACCATTGCTGAATGGAAGTACCAGTCTCATGCCGGGTGCTAACTTGACCAAAATACTTTAACTGTTATAAAATTACAGAGGTTGCAGCTATCGCTTTAGAAAGAGTTAAGGTGAAATAAGTCACTGAAACTACAGGAAGAGTGTCCAAATCAGAATATGTACCAGATTAAAGTAGATTTGCAACTTCAATAATTATTACAATCAAAGTAGAAAACAAGCAGTACATTTGATTGCTCCTACGTTGCAACTTTTCCCAGTAAGCTATCATATTGCCATCCCCAAGTGAACTTAATTCAAAACAGATTATCAAGAACATCAAGACAATTTCCCTTCCATAACCCATGATTTTTTTCTATTAAGTGAGGTTTCTCAAACACCTGTATTTGTAGTTGTTTTAATTTTTATTTCTGTACTTGTCATTCATTGTTCAACTTGCTCTGTAAAGTTACAAGTTACAAAATTACTTACTTTAAAAAAGAGAGAGAGAGATTCTTATTCCAGGGATGGAATTAAGGAGACAAAAACATAAAATGCATGTTAGTTAATAAAATATTGAATGTTTTCTTATTTAATCACTATTGTCAATTGCTCCTGTGTTGATTTCAGGGGCTCAATGAAGGCAAGCAGTCTTTCACTGTAAATCCTTAAACATTACATTCATGGGGCATCCTACAATATAGGTCTTTTGAGGCATCATTTAGAAGGACTTCTCAGCCCAAACCTGCTCTGAACACCCCTAATCAAAAAGTTCCATATTGTTTTACTACTGCAAAATGCTAAACTTATGCCCACTTCAGACCAAGGGGAGACTATGCACATCCTCTTTAATGCAAAGTCATGCTGGTTTAGCATCTCTTGTTCTTTTCCCAATATTGCTCTTGTAGAGCCACCTCCCCCTTAAGCTGCACTTGAGCTCCACTGCTGATAGAACAAAGTATCAGACAGTACGCAAATAAGACTATGCCTCTCACAGCATTTCTTTGCAGCACTAAAAATATATTATCATTACATAGAGGATAAAAATCAATAAGCAAACAAATCTGTAGTAGTTGAGAACGTATACTTTGGCTTTATAGAGAGCTGTTGTCATGAAAACGTGCTGGCTATTAAGAGGCTAAGTGGCAATAGGAAGCAAACCTCCTGTGCGGCATCGCCACACAGCCTATTCAGCGTTACAGTAGTCAGTGCAGTTTTACTTTGTACGGGCATCATTCTGACTTATATTCCCAAACAGCTAGCTGCAATAACAGAACAACAAAGTAGGAGTTAAAAGGTAAAGGAAGAGTTATATGAAAAGGAATAAGTATGGGATAAAGTTTATTTTCTAATCTTAGAGAAAAGCAGAGTGTAAAAAACCTGAGATATTCCTCATAATAGAAGACATAGATCTTCCTTGTAATAGAAGACACAGATATTCCTTCCAACAAAAGCTACAGAAAAGGTGCCCTGGCTGTGGGGAACAAAAGAGATGCACAGAGACGAGAAAAAGAATTAGAAACAAAAAGTATCTCAGGTATTTTAAACACATGAGGAAAATTCTGATCTGCGGGGAGGTGGGTGGCAAATCAGCTAAAAGAAGAGTCCAGAATTACTATGTTGTAATTAAAATGAGTCTTTGTATCTTAGGGTACGGAAAGAAAAGATCGGCATTCTGAGTAGGTAGGAACCTGGACAGCTAGGGCTTGAACAGGTCAAAAGGCAGTTAGCTATAATAAAGAGGAAGAGACTGAAAAGTCATGAAGAGGAATTCAGCCAAAATGGAAATGAGACAATGAAATGCAAAAAGAGAATAATGCGA